AGTGCAAATTATTCTACTATTGACAGGACGATCCTGTCAGCAGTGCAATATTTTCTGCTATTGACAGGACGATCCTGTCAGCAGTGTAATATTTTCTGCTATTGACAGGACGATCCTGTCAGCAGTGCAATATTTTCTGCTATTGACAGGACGATCCTGTCAATAGCCACAGGCATCGCAATATAGGACATAAGCCGCAAAGCGTAACGTCGTAATCAGCTCTGAGGCTTTAACGTAATTCGTGATTGGCAGCGAAAATTTTGCGTAATTCGTAATCGCTAACCCCCCCCCCCCATGCAGGCCCTCTCTGACCTGGTTGAGGCTTAACTACTAGTAATGTGAGATGCGGTCTGTGTTTGTGAACCATGGATTGGGTAGCATTCCTCAGATAAAATGTTTATCTATGCGGCCAGCCGTATTGGCTGACCTGGTTAAGGTTAAAGAAGAATTGTATTGCACGTGGTACAATGTATGGAAAACTACATAAAGACAGTAACAAACAAGAGTTCCACGATCTCATACCTTCGCCAAATGATGTTAACCCTTGTGGGTGGCGAATTATACAATTTTAATCAGTGATTTAACCAGGGTTCGCCTGGCCTTACTGGTTGTGATCTGGACATGTTCGGTCCAGCGTAAGGTTTGGTGGATGGTTGTCAAGGTTCTGGAAGTGGTCAAGGTTTCTGTTGCAAATTTTTCATCGAGAAATCATGGACCGTCGCCTCAAGGGATCGCGGAGTGTTACAGTATTATATGCGGGCTGCGTGATGTCATGTCCAGCAAGGTGGTCCAAATTGTGGTTAGAGTTTTTGACCTACTGTCACACGCATACACACGCACCGCATACACACACACACACACACACACACACACACACACACACACACACACACACACACACACACACACACACACACACACACACACAGACACACACACACACACACACACACAGACACACACACAGACACACACACAACAGACACCCCTAATGTCACAAGGGATCAGCGGTAGTGGTAAGCAACACTCTGTGGTATCTGGACTTTTCAATAAATACAAAATTAATACGACTACAGGTAGCAGTCACCATGTCTGAGGAGGACCACAAGCTCAGGCAGCGAATCAGATGTGAGTACACGTTTTTTTAATTCATATTCCAACATCGATGTTTTCACAAGACGTGGCGATAGCACACTCAAGTTTTTTCAACTTTATATATATGTTAATGCCGCCACCAACACAGGGGATAATACAATATTCATTTGCACCTGAGCGAAGTGAGGAAAGTCGTGTTAAGTGCCTTTCACAAGATCGGTGGCATGTCAGGACTCGAACCCGGGAACTCTTGGTTCCGAGTCGAGCACTCTGCCGCTACGCCACACGACCCCACTACACATTTTTAAAATCGCGCCCGGCGACCCAACAAATAGTCTCTATCCGATCCTAAAGTTATCATAGAAATGAACGATCATTGTTCTTCCTTTATAATGAAAATGTTGACAGTGCAGATTTTCAAAGCTTTCTACCAGAGTGTACAATATGTGAGATAAGAGTGATGCGTTTCGTCTTGAATTGAATGTTCAAATTGATATAATCATTGCCAAGGGCTCATTTCCTAGAATTAAAAAGATAATGGATATGTAGATAGATAGTAATCTAGAATCGTCTGTATCAGTTTGTCGAAGTAACGATGTGCCTTTAGCTGCCGCCAGTACTTGAATCTTAGCTTGACAACTGAAAGTTACAGTCTTCGATCAAGTTAAAAGAATAATATTTTGTCTTGTTTCGAGTTAAAACTTTTGGTCCAACACAATTAAAAAAGTTCTCTCACCTAGAGCTCTCAACCAGTCACTCTGGTCTTCCTCAGTAGACTGACCCACCCTTCACAAGCCTCACTGGGTCAGTCTACTGAGGAAGACCAGAGTGACTGGTCGAAAGCTCTAGGTGAGAGATTTCTTTGTGTTGGATCAAAAGTTTTAACTTTAAACACGTAACTACCAACACAGTTGAACTTTCATGGTAATATTTTTGTGTTGTATTCCCAGACCGTCATGTAGAGAAGATTTACATGGACCTTAAAGAGGTGGGAACATGTATATATCATTTATGATATATAAATATCTATTATTTGATTATTTGAAATGATTATATATCATTTATGATATCACGTTCATAATTTTGGTTCATACCTATCTTAGAATTGCTATGATTGTATAATGCGATAGTGATACAGAGCCTGCAACAATTATCCGTGAATAGTTTCATCAGGTTGGTAAGACACTGAGTAAAGAGACTCTTTTTACACAACCAAGTCTTTTATTCAGTCGACGTTTCGGTGACCGTCTGTCACCTTCCTCTCAGGGCAGTTCTGACTGGTTCACATTGTATTGCAGCACAGGCGTCGCTGCCACAGATGCATTCCCAAATCTGTATCTGTATAGCCGGTATAAACGCCTTTCGGCGTAACACACCAGTTTAAATGTACAATGTTTAGTACATATCTACACATATGCGTGATTGGATTACAGGGGAATGTATCTACAAAACGGTCCCAATCGTGAGGGAGTTGTATAATATTATATACATAAAGGTGGTCAGCTGCAACAATTATGTATTGTGCAATGCCCACTACAACTTAGCTTGTAAGAGTCAGTATAGAATATAGAATTGTATGCGAACGATAATCTACAAGCAGATTCTGTGGGGAAAGGGGAGTCTACATTGGGTGCTTGTATCCATTGGCCTCCTGTAACTAAAAAAGCGCTGGCAACCAATACAGGGACACCACAACCATAATTGGGGGCCGGGATGCCCTTTTCCTTAGAGCGTAATCGGCCGTTTTAATTCTACGTAGAGCGTAAACGGACCGCTCTAATTCAACGTAGAGCGCATTTTGCAATTCGCCGTTTTAATTCTACGCAATGCGTTGTAGCTTACCGGAATTTGCCGTAAATGTAATGAGGAGGCTTCCTGGATTCAGCGTAATACTCTCAAGATTTAGCGTTGGAGGCCCTCATACTTGAGCGTCGCGTCTGTCATGACGCAACAGCTTTTTATGATGCCCAGTTTAACCATCCAAGATGGCGGCCAATGCCTACGTCATAATCACGTGAGTGTGAAGACTGTTCTAACAAAGTCACGTGGTTCTGTCCTAGCTTGGTTACCATGACAACGACCCCCTGGAGGTGACTGACCTGATGACGTTGGACCAGTGGCACTACTTCGGCACGGAGCCAGTTGACGCCGTCATCAAGCTACTGGACATCAGGTACAGTTCAGAAAATAGCTTCAAGTGCCCATGACACCAAAAAAAGTCAGTGAAATAAATACAAATATTGGAAATGTACATACAATATAGTCACCTGAACTTTGTTCCAATCATGATGACTGAGAAACTGAGCCTGTACGGCCTTCTACACGTGGGTTTTTGGACACTCTCTAACAAGCTTCCCAATTGCCCACTTCGGGCATCTCTATTTGCATTTCTATGTTTTATTTTTGCATTTCTGTGCTTTTTCCTGAGCTGACATCACTGGATGACGTCAGCTCAGGAAAAAATTTAGATATGCAAAAATAAAATGTAGAGATGCAAATCGCCTGCCAGGACTGACTTTTCCAAGGCAGGGCATTAGAATTTCGAATGCAACAAGAGAACCGTGCATATTTATTGTAAATGTGTCTGTTGGCCAGGTAATACTAGTTATGTCAATTACAATCAGCTAGGTCATTTTTTGTGTCATGAGCACTTTCATCAGGTTGGTTAACTGTGAAGGAGTATCTTGTCGATAACACATTATTTTATCTTGAAAGATCATCAGTGTTGGTAGAGGTCATTATGAAACGTGCTGAACTGCAATATCCAACACAAAAAATTAACTCACCCAAATCTGTACTACTCCATTCTTTACACCAAAAAGCAGTTACTAGTACTCAAGCAACTGGATATGATTTTGGAAACGGTCAGACGTCAAACTCCAGTCTTTGTCGTCAGAAATGTATCATTAACATATTACATTCCTTGCCAAAGACTTGAGTTGAACAGTCAAAAATTTGAATGAGTCCAATTTCTTCTGTAGGAAATTGCAGTTCAAACTTGTGTCATAACACATTATTTTATTCTAATGAAACAGGGAAGGTGCGCGGGTCACAGAGATCAAATTTTCAACCACTGTCGCCTCCATCAGGATAATGAACAGATGGCTTTGCTTATTAGTAATTTCTAACCATTGATTGGAAAAGGTGGGGAGACCATATTTGTCGGCAATGTGTAATAAACCGGCTGAAAAGAACATCATTTATTTGATTGAGTTGTCAATAATACATTTTTCTTGTTCTATGAAACAGGGAAGGTGCGCGTGTCCTGGACGTGGGGGCCGGCATTGGGGGTCCATCTCGGTACCTCGCGCACAAAACCAAGTGTCACGTGACGGCCGCCGAACTCCTTCCCGACAACCACCGCGTGGGGCAGGACCTGACGTCACGCTGTTGCATGACGGGAAGCGTGAAGCACGTGTGCGGTGACATCATCAAAACCGAGCTGGGTACGCGTCAGATTGTGCTTTTTTTCTGGCCGTCTCTTCTTTTAATAAAGCTATCTGTATACGATCATGAAAGTTCATCTGTGTTGGTAGTTACATGTTTAAAGTTAAAACTTTTGGTCCAACACTAAAAAATTCTCTCACCTAAAGCTTTCGACCAGTCACTCTGGTCTTCCTCACTAGACTGACCCAGTGAGGCTTGTCACGTGGCTTCTTTGAAGTGTGACGTCAAGACTGGGTCAAAGGTATCTGGTAGACGATGTCGGCCCCCGTCGCGGTTAAGTGAAAGGTGGTGGGCCCTGGTGTAAATAGCCTCCTTCACCCCTCTCAGGAAATAGTCGTGTTCAGTGTCCAAAATCCTTACAGTGTGAAGTGAAACAAAGTGTCCGGGCGACTCTATGTGGATGTGTTGTGACACCTCTGAACTGGCTGAGCTTGGACGTGTGTGTTCTTGGAATTCGAACCTGGCCTTCAGAGACCTTTCTGTTTCACCGATGTATGTTTCCTGGCAGGGCCCTGTCTGTATACGATATGTATTACATTGTATTTTACTGTCTATGGAAATTCAATGTATCAATTGACCTGTGTATTGATATAATTAAGTAATGCCTGCAATGACCTTGAATGCCCTTGTAGGTAATCAGGAGTTTGATCACGTGATGAGCATCCAGGCGATCTACTACGTAGAGGACAAATCTAGGCTGTTCCGTCAACTGTACGACTCCCTCAAACCTGGAGGGACCATGTAAGTATTTCACATACCCAGGCTGTTCCGTCAACTGTACTGCAAATCCAGCCAGCGCTTGTTCCTTCTCCGCAAACTGAAACACTTTCACATCTCCTCAGAAGACCTCGTCACAGTCTATGTGTCCTATATACGCCCAGTTCTCGAGTACGCTGCCCCCGTCTGGCATTCTGGACTTACCACTGAACTCAGCAACAAGATTGAGAAGATCCAACGGAGAGCAGTGCGCATCATTATGGGTACGAAGTACACATCCTACACTGAAGGCTGCTCCTACCTGGGACTACCTACCCTACAGTCACGACGCCTTCTCCTGACTGTGAACTTTGCGAACTCTCTTAGACAGTCTGAACAGTTCCGGCATTTTCTGCCACCTGTTAGAAGTGCAATAAGTGGTCGTCAAACCAGATCAGCTTATAAACTGAACACTCCCCGCAGCAGAACTGATCGTTATCAGAATAGTGCCCTCCCTTTCATGATCCGCCTGCTTAATATGTATATGTAACACTGTCACTTTTTTTAACCTAAGACTTATTTTAGTGTTACCAGTGTCCGTCTGTTTTGTTATCTGCTACGATATTAATTTGCACTTGAAACGTTGTTGACAATATTTTATATACATTTTATGTAATGGTTTATTTCTATTTTAATCGCTTAATATGACGTTTTATACTAATAATGTGATGCCCCAATGTCAATTCAGCCTCTGGCTGCCATTTTTGGGACAGTGTTGTTGTGTTTTAATGCAAATAAACCATTGATATACAACTCCCTCAAACCTGGAGGGACCATGTAAGTCACAAGTCCAGGCTGTTCCGTCAGCCGTACGCCCCCCCCCATATCGACACACACATAATGAAAAAAAATGTGACAGAAATAATTTGCATTTGCTGGCAAATGCTTGCTTCTAAGGTTACACGTACACGTTTGAAAGTGACGTCACAATCGCCATGCACGTTTCTTGATTGAACCAAAAAGAGTCTGGCAACTTGCATATTTAAGCATAAAAGGCTGGCTGCAATATGCTTTTGTGCAATAAACCAATTTGAATTTGAATTTGAAAGAGCTTTCAACCAGTCACTCTGCAAGCCACGTGACAAGCCTCACTGGGTCAGTCTACTGATGAGGAAGACCAAAGTGACTGGTGGAAAGCTCTAGGTGAGAGACCTTTTTGTTAGCCTCCTGTGCAGCCCCCGCGGCGGTGGGGAAGAGTTTTTAACGCATTGTTTTAATATAGCCGACCATCCTACATAGCCGCCGAGAGAAGGTTCCATTCCGCCCTTTTTGTGTTGGATCTAAAGTTTTAACTAAAAAAATTTTCGGATGTATTTGTTAGATGTTTTGAGGAGTTCTGCCGCCTGAAGGACGTTGAGAGTAACGAGGAGAAGGCGGCACTGGACTTCTTCCTGCTGTGCGTCAACACTCTGCCGACCCAGCAGGACTACAGACGCCTGCTGGAGGAGGCTGGCTTCCAAGTCACGGTCAGGAGTTTCCCTTTACACTTCATTCTAGTCTCTATCCTCTCTCGCCCCTCCCTCCCCCCTCTCTCTCTGCTGGAGGACGCAGGCTTCCAAGTCTCGGTGAGGGATTTTCTCTTTGACTTTGCACTTCATTCTAGTCTCTATCCTCTCTCACTCCTCCCTCTCCCCCTCTCTCTCTGCTGGAGGAGGCAGGCTTCCAAGTCTCGGTGAGGGATTTTCTCTTTGACTTTGCACTTCATTCTAGTCTCTAGCCTCTAGCCCTCTCTCTTGCTCCTGTGCGCCAACACTCTGCCGACCCACCAGGACTACAGACGCCTGCTGGAGGAGGCTGGCTTCCAAGTCACGGTCAGGAGTTTTCTCTCTACACTTTATTCCTATTCCAGTCTCTAGCCTCTCTCACTCCTCCCTCTCCCCCTCTCTCTCTGCTGGAGGAGGCTGGCTTCCAAGTCACGGTCAGGAGTTTTCTCTCTATACTTTATTCCTATTCCAGTCTCTAGCCTCTCTCTCTCTCCTCTTACTCTCCCCCCATCTCTCTCTGCTGGAGGAGGCTGGCTTCCAAGTCACGGTCAGGATTTTCTCTTTGCACTTCATTCTAGTCTCTATCCCCTCTCTTTCTCTCTCTCTTTCTCTCTCTCTCTCTCTCTCACCTCTCCCTCTCCCCTATTCTATGTTCTGCCAAAAGTCACAGTGACGATTTTCTCTTTGTACTTCATTCAGAGCGAGTGAAATGTCAATTTTTTACTTCTCTCTCTCTCTCACTCCCTCATGTCGCACCTCTCTCTGTCTCTCTCTGTGAGCGTCTGTCTGTATGTATGTGATTGTCTCTGTGTCAGTCTGTGTTTTTGGCTCTATCTCTAGCTTTGTGCGTACGTGACAGTGTGTTTGTGTGTTTGTGCCCTCGTGTCTCTCTCTCTCTCTCTTTATGTCTCTCTCTTCGTCTCTCTCTATGTGTCTCTGTCTGTCTGTCTGTCTCTCTAAGTAGATTTAGACATTGTTGAAAGATTGACATCCATATGAACGATATAGATCAACAAAGGTTCCTAAAACTGGGTATCGTGAAGTCATGTTTATGTTCTTTTCCATATAATTTTGAAGCTGTAAACTGAGATTAATTTGAGATTTACCGACTGAATCTTGCCCTCACAGGTTCACGACATTTCTGCCGCGTACGCCGAGTACACGTACGGGCGTTGGTCGAACTGGGACGAGCAGCGCGACAAGTACGTCCGTCTGTACGGGGAGGACATGGTGGACGGATGGCTCAACTTCATCGTCACCGCCAAGAAGCTGTGCAACGACTTCGGCCTGGTGGGAGGGGGGCGCTTCGTCGCGCGTAAATTGTGAAGATAGAAGTCTGAAAAGGGCAGTTCTAGCCTGTGTACGGTGTAACACAAGAGATGAAACTACATACAATAACACTTTAATAAAGGTCCAAGTTACATGGTGACTGGTGTTGTAAGGATGGTGGGAGGGGGGCGCTTCGTCGCGCGTAAATTGTAAAGATAGAAGTCTGAAAAAGGCAGTTCTAGTCTGTGTACGGTGTAACACAAGAGATGAAACTACAATAACACTTTAACAAAGGTCGAAGTTACATAGTGACTGGTGTTGTAGAGCTGGTGGGAGGGGGGCGCTTCGTCGCGCGCAAAGTGTAAATAATAGAAATCTGAAGGAGGCGATGTTACACAAGAGATGAAACTTCGACTGCATGTAAACGAAGGTGTAAGTTACATTGTGACTCAGGTGCGGTAGTGCTGGTGGGAGGGGTGGGGGCGCTTCGTCGCGCGTAGGGTGTGAAAAGTAAAAATCTGAAGGAGGCAATTGTAGGCTGTGTTGCACAAAAGATGAAACTTCGACTGCACCTAATTTATAAATAAAGGTGCAAGTTACACGGTGACTGGTGGTAAAGGGATGGTAAGAGGGAGAGGGGGACGTTGGTCGGTGTGAAGACAGAAATCTGAAGGAGGCGATTCTAGCCTGTATTACACAATTATTTCATAGTTGTAACTGCTGGGAATTTCATACTTGCCACATTTGGAAGTTAAGTGAAGATGAACATCAATAAACATAGTTATTTAAAATCATTACCTCATTTGCATAATTTCTGCAGAAGTGCTAGAATAGCCTTTTTGTTAAGATAAGGCTGTCATTGGGTGAAGAATATGAAATATGATCAACTGGTATAATCCATGCAAACGAGGCTCTTATTTGCGAAATCAATGATTAAAATTGTATAGATTGAAATTGTATAATTCGTCAACCTGAAGAGTTTACATCATTTGGCGAAGGTATGAGATCGTGGAAATCTTGTTTTACTTTTTACATTAATCTCCAAGCAGATGTTGGGATGGAAGACCGTAACGCTACCTCACAAAGCAATTCAACTTAATGATAATAAACTGAATGCAAAAGTACGTGTGGAACCTTGCAACTATTTCACAACTTTATTCCACAACTTAACTTTCTTTTGCGTGCAGCGCAAGCCAAACTCTGAAGCCACAATGTGGCAAAATGTTACGTAATGAAGCTTCGCGCAAACAAACGTTGAAGCTACGTGGTGAAAATTCAGCCACGGAGGCAGGTGTAGCCGGAGTAGCCGTCCTCCCTGCAGCTCCAATCGGGACCGCATGACGTCGCCGCGCAGAAGTGGCCGGTGTATCCGCGGCTCCCAGCAGGAGCTGTATGGAAACAAAAAGTTGTTAATGCCTGGTGTTTTAAGAAGTTAAGACGGAGTTTGCATCTGTTTTACGCAACTTAACGTGTATGCAAAAAGTAGAATTTCTGTATGCTACAATTGTTTCGATTCACTACTCGGTTGTTGGTTATTTCCAATCATGGTTCTATAAGCATTGGACAGAACGTATTGCGTTTGCATGCGCACGAAACCCGTTTTTTGTAGCATGTTGTGTCTGAGAAAGTATTGTCTGCAACGGGAAAAATTCTGCTGCAAGATTGATCAAACATCTAATGAAAACTGTAAAATCCCGGGTTTCTCACAGGCGCAGTACGTTCTGCCGACGTGCTGGTTGTACATATCACACAGTGACCATGAACATGCATGTTTCTCACCTTGGCAGTGGAAGGTGCCCAGGTCCGGGGCCACACAGGTCCAGCCAGACGGACAGGGGCTGGGGTCACACCAGTTTATAGCTGAAGAGAAAAATATGAAAATTCCAGGATTATTCAGAGTACATTTTGTCGCAGCACAACACAATCTAAAACAGCAAACGTATGGCTTTTCAAAAGCTAGAACCTGGAAAATCCAGACATTTACATTCCTCTAGAACTGTGTAGAACAGTGCCTATGTCAAAATTATGTGATATAAAACTTCACATCTATACAAATCCTAATTTAGGATCCATTCCCACCAGGCAAAACTTGTCCGGATCGAGATGAATTGATTCGCTTTGCTTCGGCTTCGATCTGGCTCAGTTCCGGCTCGCAGCAAAATCGAAGCCGGATCAAAGCGAATCAATTCGGATCTATCCTAGTGGGAATGGGGCCTTATCAATTTAGATGGCAGGTACCTGTCTCACAGCTGTTCCCGGTGAATCCAGGTGGGCACTGACAGGTGTAGCCGTTCACGTGATCCACGCAGGTGGCGCTTTGAGAACAGGGAGAACTCTGGCACTCGTCAATGTCTGAAAGTGGGAATGGAAAAACAATATGTAAGACTCATGGGCCGGAAGCTGGTATGTTTACTAGACTAAGTGTTGTCCAACGGCAACAAAATCGTGCAATGGCCCTCAACGAATATGACCATGCCGCCATTTGTTGTAGGCCGCAATTTTGATGTCATAAGATTTCCAAGCAGCTAGCCAGCGACAAAGATCCAAGACAATCTTTGGCGTAAGAAGAAAGCTGGGTTTTATCGGGACATAAAACTCGTAGTCTCCACCAGACTTCTTTTGCAGGCTGAATAGATAGTAGAAATCGGCCTAAAAAGGGATACAATTGGCAAGAGAACGTGTCTGCCGATAGAAGCTCAAATTTGCTTGCAAAAGAAGTCTGGTAGAGACTAACGCAATCGTACGACGTGACCGTGCCGTCATTCAGAAAACCTCAGGATTGAGTCTGTGGAGAAAACCTTGTAGCCTCCTGTGCAGGCTTCTGCGAACGGGAGTTTAGATACTGCGATGTTTTGTCAAAGAAGATTATGCCGGGAAAGAGGGTTATACCTAGTCTGGGCACCATCCTTGTTAGTTTACGTCCGCTCCCACAGTTGCTACAGACCGATTTCTACTACCGCTACAGGTAGCGACTGTGGGAGCGGACGTAAACAACCAGGATGGTACCCAGGCTAGGTATACCCGCCACGCCGTATTTAACTAAACTCCCGCTCGCGGAAAACTTGCCATATTCTACTCACCAATCTGGCACGTGTCTCCGAACCATCCCGGCTCGCATTGACACACGTAGTACGGCTCATGGTCCCCTTGCGGACAGTTGGTGTGGCAGGAGTAGTGCTTCACGCGATCCTCACAGGTTCCGTGCAGGCAGGGGGAACTGCTGCAGCTGCTGGGTTCTGCAGAAGGCAAACACATTTTTTTAGCCTGGATACCAAAATAAATTAGTAGGGAAGCGACCAAGAGAGCTTACAAAGCTGAATTGTCTAGCATCCAAGTTTAGAAAAAATAATAATACCATGTAATTATGAAGTGCTTAAGGGCATCGTCATCACTGTTTTGGATATGCTTCCCGGACTTATCAATATGACCTGAACGATTAAGAAGATTCTTTGGATGACCGTTTGCCAAGAAATACTTTGATTAACCAGAATCACAGAAGTAGCCAGTCTACTAGAAAATAATAACAGGAAGGAAGGAAGAAAAATATATGAATTAATAAAAGAATGAATGAAGGACGGAAGGAAGGAATTAAGGAAGAAACGAAAGAAGAAAAGAAAGGGGAAAAAAAGAAAGAAGTAAGGAAAGTAGAAAAGGAAAATAACAGAAGTATTTCCACAGAAGTAGATGGGAGTATGTTCAACTGGTAGTTTCCTTACTTGCGCACAGGGCATATTTGTCGCTTACGTCAGCTCCATGAACTTCTGTGTTAGTGATAACGTCATAACCATGTGCGCTATCTCTCTCCCAGTTGGGACGGACAACGAAAACATCGTGCAGGGCGGGGCAAATCGCAGGGTTGTACTCTACGCACAGGTGGGCGGACAGGATATATTGAATAGCGTTGCTGATCCCATCGGCACTGTATCTAATGCAGTCCGGTGTCCAGTAGATGCCGCCTTCGTAGTCACCATCTCTACCGAGGCATGGGTACTGCATCCCTGCAGCTTCACATGTAGACTTGACATTGACATTAGTCATCAGGCCCGTGGCCTTGACTTTGTAAAAGCCCCACCCACTCCATGAGGATAGATATACCGAGTAACCTATGGAAGAAAAAAAACTTTATAAAAAAACAACTTTATAAACAAATATTCTTTTTTCCTCTTTTAAAGGAATGATTACTTACATGAAAATTTGGTATTGTTTTTTATCTTTGTGTATGTGTGTGTGTGTGTGTGTGTATGTGTGTGTGTGTGTGTGTGTGTGTGTGTGTGTGTGTGTGTGTGTGTGTGTGTGTGTGTGTGTGTGTGTGTGTGTGTGTGTGTGTGTGTGTGTGTGTGTGTGTGTGTGTGTGTGTGTGTGTGTTTGTGTGTGTGTGTGTTTTGTGTGTCTGTTAATGACGTATGCTGGACATGTCCTCATAATGATGTCAGCCCGCCATGCCAAGACATCTATGTCCATGATACTAGAGGGCAAGCTTAAAAGAGGGAGACCCAAGCTGACATGGCGACGCACCTTCCAAAAAGGTTTTGGAAATTAGATGGGTGCTCTTGGCGGATGCTGAGAATCTGGTCAAAGATCGAATAGAGTGAGGAAACTTGTTGCCCAATGCGGAAGGAACTAAGTCTAAGTAAGTAAATGATGGGCAGTTAATATTTGTGACATGTGTAAGCTAGTTTAAGGTTAACATCTCTAGCACATAGTATGTGAATGTGGATGTTACAATGCATAATTAATGAAAATGAGTATTGCTATTGGACACGTTACAACCCTTGTTCGAATCCCTTGCAGGCCCTAACGAACCGTTGTGCTATTGGGAGGGGTACTTTATTTGAATAAGGCCACGCCGTCTTAATTTTATGTATGACATCCTCTAAAGACCCCCAAACTAGTGCGCCAAAAACAAAAATGCTTCTTAACCACAGGAATATAAAGCTGGTATTGTGAATTTGCGGCAGTACTTAGCGACGTATACGACAAGCCGGCACAAGTTGGCTTTCTCCGGAATTTATGACGCGGCACTATAGGTATGTACTGAGTTCTTGAGTCGTGGAGCTTCGGTAGCCTGGGTGCGCGGCTCCGTACGTATTGTCGCTAACTACCAGGGACTACGTATACCCAGGCCTAGAGCTTCGGTGGACGTGACTTTTTTTGAGAACAGGCTAGGCGAAAATCAATGCGCGCGCGGATGTCATCCATAAAATTTAGTCGGTGTGGCCTAAAATCATTGAGTAACTTGCTTTAGTTAGGGGCATTTTGTCGTCGTTTCACTTGTAAAACTAGCAGGCCCCGTGTTTGAGAATAGCCTTCCCTCGACACATGAAAAATCCCACCGCACTTATCGAAAAGATTCTAGGTCCATCCATGTGTAAGGGGATCACATCTTACAGTCTGGTCGTACGCAGTTTGTTCTCTTTCTACTGTACATGTACAAAACTGAAAGCCTCTACCAGGCTTCGTGAAGCGGCTGAAAAGGGTTGAAATTTGCCAAATAGTCGGATCATATGCCAAGGGAATTGGTCCAAAAAACAGTTTGCAGCTCCTGAGAAAATCTCTTAGCGGACAAACTACCCTGGTATATAATCAGTCTATGTCTATTTGGCAAATTTATACCTTTTCCAGCCGCTTCCCGAAGCCTGGTAGAGGATTCAAAACAATGATGTGTTACACCTAAAGGCGGTTTTCCGGTTAGGTCATGTTGATTTGATTATATGGATGACATCCTCTGGGAACCCCAAAATTTCATTATGCATATATGGTCAGTGAAGT